ACACACACACACACACACACACACACACATACACACACACACGCACAAAGATGTGTGTGGATGCCATGTGGATCTGTGTATGTTTTCAAATGGCTGGACTAGTATGTCCTATGTGGCATCAGTGGTCAGTGGTGCAGAGTAAGAACAGGGAGGTGAAAGGAGCCAGGCACAAAGCACCCCAGCTGTTATGTGAAGGAGTTTGGATTTATTCTCCAAGAAAACTTTAAGTAAGCAGAATATCATGAACAGATAGGGTTTGTTGTTATTGTAAAAATCACCCTAAGAAGGGTTTATTTGTGGGACTTGAAGGAAAGCAAGAAGATTCCTTAGGACAGCATGGTACTGAGGCGGGTTGTGATGAGATTCTGACAAAAGCTGAAGGAGACCTTCTAGAATAAAGATCCACTGCAAACTCTTGTTTGGATCCAGCAATAACCCAGAGCATAAGAAGGCAACGTAGCTGACAAACCCTAATGGCAATCTCCCTCTCCTCCTCCTGTTTCCTCTGCAGCAATTCTTGTTGTTCTTTTTACTTATTGGTGTTGAGTCTGTCATGCAGGGCCTACTGCATGCTAGGTGTGTGCTCTGCCATGCCCCAGCCCTCCATCACAGTTTGGAGACTTCATTCTGTGGCTTTTCACACATTATATTGTACTATGCCATATTATTAAAGCTTATTTACAACCTTTCTGCCCTGGAGCCGTAGGCCTTGGAGATTTGAGAATCAAGTTACTGAATTATTTGTGTGTGTGTGTAGCTGCCCAGGGTGTGTTTGAGGAGTAAAATGCTCGATGCTTTAGCTAGTGTCTTCCAAACTATCTGTGAAGTACCGAATGTGAAAAGACCACTAAGATTTTTCTTTTTTCTGAACCCATTCCCACGTCTCCTCCCCAGGATCCAGAGCAATAGATATGGACACACACGCACATGCACACACACATGGATTTTGTAACGGCCCGTTCTGCTACTTTGTAAAGGCCCGTTCTTCTGCTCCAGTCCGCAGGTCAGGGTCTAGCAAGAGAGAGTGGGGACAGAGGGGCGAGAGGCACAAAAGATGGATACAAGACAGAGTCTGGTCAAGTCTCTTCCCTTTTCTTTATTGAAGAAAAGGTCCTGGGTGTTTATACCCTTTACCATGTGCCTTGCCCTCGTGGACAAGCTCAACTGAAGGCACTACGTCACGTGCCTTGTAGCCATGGATACCACGTGCACCTTGCAGCTGGGGGCACTAAACAGTGTAACAAGATGTTTATCAGAGTGTGCTCAGCTGTTGTGGGCTGTTGAAAACAAGTCTCTTGTCAGGGTATATGGCTGAGATGGCTGTAAAGATGATAGCCGCTTTCGGCTAAGAGTTGGCTCCCAACACATGGACACACACATTTCCTATGACATTTGTATCACAGAAGCTTCAGAGCTGGCTCAGCTATTAAAATCCCATAATGGTCTTGCAGAGGACCCACGTTCACTTTCAGCACTGACATGGAACATCTCAAAACCACCTGTAGCTCCAGCTCCAGCTCCATGGTGTCTGATGCCCTCTACTGGCCTCCAAGGGTACCTGCACCCATGTGCACATATCTCGATATATGCCTCCATGTAATTAAAAATAAAATCTATTAAAATAGAGTTTATGTCACTATCCATTATCAAGATGTGTTTTTCTTCTGGGAGCCTGCATTAAAATGCCAGTAATAAATGTTTGAATAGAAAGAGTGAACATAAGACTAATGACTGTTGTAATATTGTCTTCAGTGATTTCACTGTCCAAAAAATGGAGCACAGTAATTCAATTTCATATTTTTTCAAATATTATTTTTATTTTAATCTAGATTTATTTTGTTCTTCCAGCAGATTCGTAATGCCTCCTGCTTGCCTCTTTCAAGATGGAGGGGAAATCTGTGGGAGAGCCTACTCAAGTGGTGTCTAAAGTCAAACTTTCCACAAAAGTAGAAAACACAGGACACTGGCTGGTGGACGATCACACTCGAATATGGGAAGTTTTAAAGACAGAGGAGGTAAGACAATGAAATGATAGAGCTCGCGCAATGATGGATTTGCTCATACCCGAGACTAGAAAAACTCCTGCTATAGCTGATACCCCATGCCAGCTTGAATGTTTGTTCAGGGACCATAGGCACAGCCAAGGCTGGAGAACAATAAGCTAGAGACATGTCCCTTAGACATTATTGATGACACAGTGACTCAGGGAAAGAGCTAATAGCATTAACAACGGAAGCATAGAGTAACGATCTGAGCTCAGACGCATGTAACCTGTCTGGCTGGGATAACCCAGTGGTATAGATGAAGGCTTCTTCTTCCTGACTTCTTTCCCAAGGTTGCTTTTCTGTGACTTCCTTCTTTCTCAAGCCTTTTACTGATGTCTCAACAAATGCTAGTACTGTATGTGTGTGTGTATGTGTTAGTGGTGTGTGTGTGTGTGTGTGTGTGTGTGTATGGTGCAGAAGATAGAAAGAGGGAGAAACCCACTCATTAGCGGAAGTGATACATTATGGTCTTTATTTTGTTATGTGTCTGAGATAAGCTCCTAAGTAATGTTGAGGTCCAGAAGAAGTGCTTCCCTAAGGCACAACAGAATGAGAAGCTATTACAAGAAGATTAGTGCTGAGGGTGGTGTTGAGAACCCAAGCTGGGGGAAATCCCACATCACTGACCTGGCATTTACCCATCTTGCCTTCTCTGAACTGAAATGAAGGCTAGGGTATAACGGATGGATGGAAAGAGCATCTCAGGGAGAAGGCCAAAGTGTACGACTTCAAGACAGCCAGTATGGTCTGGAAAGGAGATGGGGAAAACTCTGAACATTTGGTAGCAGGGAGTGGGAAGGTGAAGAGTTTCTTCAAAGGGCTCACCTGGGAGCTCCCGCTGCCTGAGAGAGCTGTTCAGGGTCTGGGCCATAGCTTGCAAGCTCAGGAGTATTATTTCTCATATATCCAACAGCAGGGTGCTCCTAAGAAACACAGTGTAAAAATGCAAATAATGATGGAAGCACACGGCCTTGGAAGGCTATGCTGAGCT